AGCCTGTGGGAGGGGTCAGTGAGCCAGAGACTCAGGGCTCCCGTGGGCTCTAAACACATCTGACTCCCTTTCAGGTCACTCTGGGAAGACCTGGGAATCTGCCCTGGGAAGAGGTGCGTGTGGCAGCTAGGCAGAGTGGGCTCCTGACCGGAGTCTGAGACCCCAGAGCCAGAAGGAAGGAGAGAGGATGCTGGGTCAGGGCTGGGGGGTCTCGCGAGGGGCCCACAGACTCACGGCAGAAGCTGTCTGTCCTCCAGGGCTTCACGGGTGCGCCAGCTGCCTGACAGGCTGCAGTGTAAGCTGCCAGGCTGCGGCAGAGATAGGATTTCTTGCCCTTATGGGCACACAGGTCATACACACATTGGTGGAAGTATTCCGAGGGACTCAGAACCTGGTGGCAGGCTGCAAAGGGGCCTTGGGGGTCCCGGATCTTCCCACAGGATTCATTTTTCTCATAAGCTTCTCTGTTCTCTGCCAAGCACACAGGGCAGCCTTGGGGCCCACAGCCTTCACCACAGCCCAGGGAGGAGCCGGGAGCTCGCCATGCAGTTCCAAAGGCTTCCACACTGGGGGCCACCGCCCCACTGGGGAGCACAAAGTCATCACTCCAGTTGCCATTGAAGTTCCCACAGAGGCCACAGATACGTCCACGGAAGGGACTAGGGATGGACATGAGGATATGGCCATCGCCATCAAAAAGAACTTTCAGCCCTGTTTTTGTCTGTAGAAACATGTTCCGGCTTTCAATAGTTATATATATGGAACCCACAACCACGGGGAGCATGACAGCTTCACTGTCCACAGTCACCTGGGTGGAAAAAGCAGGCAAGTTGGGTCAGAGCACATCAGTTTAAGGAAGGTCCTTATAGTTTTGGCAAGGAACTGTGTCTCTCTCTCTGTAGGCATAGTGCTACTGTGGACTGTGTAAAGATTCAAATGCTGATTTCTGTGCCCCCCCCCATATCTGGTTGCCATCCTTGTTCTGAGACTCTCCTGTCTAAACTTTGCTCCCCAGTTGTTCCCTGATAGATCAATAAAGCAGCTTGACAGTGACTGAGCAGGGGAGAGAATAGGGCTGGACTAGTGTGCCAGGGAAGGAGGAGAGAAAGAGGGAAAGTGGGGATTCAGCCAGGAGGAGAGGTCCAGGAGACACCAGAAGAGAGTATCTGAGGCAGAGAAAGCCAAAATAAATGCAAGCATCTTAGAGACTTTTGCTGGGAGGAAGCCAGATTAGCCTAGATTTAGCCTAGGTTAAAACAGATTAATACAGCTCAGTTCTTGTGCCATAAAGCTGGTCAAATAAATATGATAGTCTCAATTATTTGGGTGCTAGCCAGGTTAAAAGAGAAACTCCAGCATAAATTTAAAACAACCACTAACATCCTTTAGACACTCAAGGCAGAACTAAGTGCTTTTTAATAGGAGCAGAATGGAGTCAATTTAATCCCCCAGGGTAGGAATAGGGCCATGTCTCCAGTGGGGTGCAGGGTGACTGACACCTTTGCCTCACAAGCTGGTGCTCTCGGGGCTCTCAAATTGGTCAACATCCCACAAGACCCTCCAAAGTAGGGGAATAACTTCAGATGACCCCATGTGTGGGGCTGTGTCCCAGATCAGAACCATGGGCAGGCCTGTGTCCACTCACGTGTGGCCCTTGGGCCAGGACGACAACCTGGCCTTCCACAGTAACCACCATCCGCTGGAGGTCACCAGCCAAGTTCTTCTCGAGCACGATGGAGAACTCCTGAACACCAGGTTTTGGGTAACAGACTCTGGCCAAGACATAGGAGCAGGAGCCATGAAGGTCATACACCCGTCCATCAAGTGTGGCATAATGAGTTCCATCAAGGACCAGCATAAATTCAGAGCTCTGGGGATAGCAGCCCCGGACTCCATCCTCCATCCGGCACTCCTCATATATCCCACAGGTGTCTATTTTGCAGCTGACCTGGCCATCTGAGGCACACTCACAGCGCCGCTCACACTCAGGGCCTGGGTAGAAGGTGGCGCCGAGCTGGTAGTAACGGCCGCTGTAAAGGCAGCCGCACTGGCCCACCGGCACACAGGCATCTCCACTGAGCACGAAGCCAGAGTCACAGACGCAGCCTTCACGGCAGGTGGTTTCACAGCCCTCGGGGGCTGACAGGGACGGGCAACTCACAGGGCAGGAGTCACCACAGAGCTGGTAGTGACTGTTGGCAGGACACTGGAGGGCTGTGGGGAGAGAAGGCAGTCAGGCAGAGGCGATGGCGGGTCAGGTGGGCTTGGGTGTGAGGACCTGACCGAGGCAACCCGGTGCTCTGGCTTGGCATGGACTTGACCTAGAACTTGTGACAGGGTGTGTCACCCTGACAGGTACTTCTAAAGCAAGTGGCTGTCTGGGGGATCCGGCCAGCCACTGAGCAGAGCGGCCTAGGACCCACCAAGGCTGTGTGAGGTGACTAGAAGCCTGGTGTGGGACTGAAGAAGGTGAAGACAGTGAGGGCAGGATGGGAGCGCCCTCTGCTCTCTCCAACATGCTCTGTTTCAGAGTGGTGTGCCAGTGTGTGTGTGTGTGTGTGTGTGTGTGTGTGTGTGTGTGTGTGTGTTTGGGGGACACTGACAGGGGCCTGAGCCAGCAGATCTGCCTGAAGGAGCTGCCCCACACCTCCTGACTCAGTCTGCTTGGATCTGCCGAGAACAGGTCCTGAGTCCCGCTGAGCTGGATTCTGCTGTCTGAGCAGCGAGGCAGGCAGTGCGGGGTCTCCCAGACACCACTGGGCTATCTGACCACTTCTGTGCTCTATTCCAGGGTGGGAGATGGTCCAGGCCTGTGACCAGGAGTCACTCACTCGGCCTCTGACAGGGGCTCCTTGCGAGTAACTGTCCCTGGGTCCTATCCAAGTCCACTAGAAGAAGGAACCTCCAGAGCGGTGTGCACCCAGGCTTTCTGACTTTGGGTCCTCCTCAGCCCACTGCTGTTTGTCAGTCTCAGTGCCAGAGTGTGTCTCTGACAGGAGGGGGTGGGGATGGGCACTGAGCTCCACTGAAGCGACAGGGCTCTTGGCTTAGGGCCCCCGGAACGGGTTGGGGACACCCTGTGAGTGTAGCTGCACGGGTCAGTACTCACGACAGAAGTCTGGCTTCCTCCACTCTCCAAGCTGGGCCCCAGCAGCCTGACAAGCTGCCACATAGGTGGCCACGGCAGGACAGAGGCCTCCTGGGTGGCCCTGAACCTGACAGGCATCCAGCAAGCAGGCCTCCAGGTACTGCGTGGGGGGCACGAGGTGGTGGCAGGGTGCTAGTGGGCCTTCGGGGGCGGAGATTATGCCGCAGGCGTCGGGGCCGCGGAAGGGCTCCTGTTGCTCAGGTGTGCAGGGCGGCGGGCAAGGCCCTGGCTGGCACTGGTCACAGCCTGGGGTTCCGCCCACCTTCCAGCCCTCAGGTTTCCCATCCACTGCTGCCAGGTCGTCGCTGGGATTTTTGTTGTAGTTCCCACACAGGCCACAGAGGGCGCCCGCATAGGCAGCAGGCACGCGCAGGCGCACAAAACTGTGTCCGTCAAAAGCCAGGGAGATGCCTGAGGCAGTGTTCATCACTACATCTGCTCCACTTAGGTAAATGCTCAGCCGCTGGTCCATGCGGAAGGGCAGAGAAACGAACTCTCCGTTCACCTGCGGGCCGAGAGAGGGTGGGCTGTGAGAGGCGCCGAGAGCTTTGCAGCTGTTTCCGCGACTTGTGAGATACGGTACCGAAGTAGGTCACTTCCCCAGCTAGCATAAAGGGAAGGAGACGCGGAGTCACGGACCCCTTTTGTTTTCCTTCCTTTGTTTGCTGCTCCCTGTCCCAAGGAACGACTGTGGTTCCTTGAGCTGGTGCAGGTCTCTGCGACCTCCTGCCTCAGCCTCTGACAGCTGAATTACCAGAGCTGAACCACCATCACACCGCCAGATCTAGAGCTATCCAGAAGCAGGTACTTCCCACAGTCCACCCTAGAGCAACACTGGAAGGCCGAGCCTGGGGACGCTGCTGCTTCCTGCCCTCCCGGTCCCACAGGCTGCAGGCTGAGCCAGCCTCCTGCTCCTGCCAAGCTGGGAAAGGTGCTTTGGGGAATGGTCACCTCATTCTCTCCTGTATAGACAGAATGGCTTCTGTGTGGCCCACAGCTCACTCACCTGTATCCGCCCTGGCCAGTGGGCACTGACGGTCAGGTTGAGGCCATAGATCTGCAGAGTGACACTTTGGGTGTAGCTGACAGCCTGGCCGCCCCTGTGCTCATTAGCCACAGTGACTTTGAAGAATTCAGTCCCCTCGGGTGGTGCACGGCAGGGGGCGCTCAGCAGGTACTCACAGGTGCCTTGGAAGTCAAACTTGTGCCCATCTAGGGTGATGTAATGTGGATCACCCCAGGCTTGGCACTGAGCTGTGCTTGTAGGTTGGCAGCCTAGCTGGCCAGAGGGCAGCAAGGCACACTCCTCACCCAGCCCACAGCTGGCAGGCTTGCAGACCAAGGAGTTACCTCCAGGTCCACAGTGACACCTCTCAGAGCAGGTGGCATCAGTCCAAAACTCGGTGCCTGCTTCATGGTATGTGCCGTTGACCCAGCAGCCACAGCCACCATCCAGGGGAACACACCGCCCAGCACTCAAGACAAAGCCCTGGTCACACTGGCATCCCTCCACACAGGGCCCGTTACATATAGCTGGGGTCGTGTGGCGTGCTGGGGGTGGGCAGATGGCTGGGCATGGTGGGCTACAGAGCTCATAGTGGCTGTTGTCAGGGCAGGAGATCTCTGTGGGTAGATGAGGGAGGGAGAGAAATAATGATGTTG